TCTGAGGAAGTAGACTGAAGTCTAGGAAAGCTCCTACTGCCAACGTCTCTCTTTCATTTACAGTCTCAAAGGTGCTCCAAGATCTCTCTACTACTGATTCTACAGCCTAACACGGCTATATCTTTCAAGAACAATCTAAGGAAGAGGAGATGGATAGACTGGACACTTTGATTTCAGAGGCTCTGTTCCATCCCACCATGCTGTGCTCCTGTTGGCAAGGGACAAAAGTCTCAGCAGAGATGGTTTCAGCTTCCCCCCCAGACCCAGCCTCCAAAGGGCTTTATTCTGAGGCTGGTCTAAGGTCTCCTCCATGTTGGGGATAAAGGTGGGAATGACAGAATGCTATGAATCCAGCAGATGCACAGCTAATCCTTTGCACCTCCCCAGTGCTACATACCAAGCACATCCCCTGCTCTCACCAAGGCCAGCCATTCTGAGTTGAGAAGAGCAGAGGTAGGGTGCATGTGTCTGAAACTGGATCTCCTCCCAGATTGGAGCTCCATCCAAGGTCTAAGACAGAGATCTTCTACGGCCCCAAGGACCTGTTCCTAGGACATGGGACTGCACCATAGGGGACTTGGAGAATTGTTTCCCTCTCGTGTTTTAGAGGGATACTGACTGCCTTCCCTTCCCGTTGGTGTTGTGGCTGCAAGCCTGAACAGGGACAAAGTGCACTGCAACATTTTGTTGTAGCCTTCCTAATGTTTATTAAGAACACAGCTGAGATCACCCAAGCACTTCTTTTTTAATTTTGTTTTGGCTTCTGAGCTAAAGACAGCTCCGAGACATTCCTGACAGAATTACTGCAGGGAGCTGCTATTATTAGCGTTGAAAGCAGCACACATAGTTGTTATTATTCTCAACTGGCTTTCCACAGTTCCCCAGCTCGGCTGGTTGCATCACTCATCCAGCAATGCACACACAGGCTTTTGTTTGTCTCCTTTTTTTAAGGCCAGCAACAAATGAGCGAGACAACCTTGAAAACAAAAGGCTGCTTTCTGCTCACTGTACAAAACTACACAGAGAAGAGTTGGCCTTTTTTTTTAAAAAAAAAGCAAGCAAACAAATGCTGTTCAAAAGTTGATGTTTATTCATTTTCTTCCCACTTTCAAGCTCCATCAGAGGTAACTATGCCATCAATGTACCATGCCAGTCTTACATTGGCAACGGCATGAAGTCGGGAGTTGCAGGATCCCTCTTCTTACGTGGAGGAAAGAAACAAATTATAACTGAATAATAAAACAAGGTGGCTACCATAAGCAAACCTCTAACTACATCAAAACCAAACAGGACCTCTTTCAGAGAAAATATGGTGCAAGATGAAGTTAGTGTGCATTTATAGCATTAATTCTTTTTCAGATTCCCCACACCTGAGATGTTCTTAGTTCTGTGCCTTGCAATTTTTTTCCTCCCTGGTGCCATCACTACAGTCTCAAGAGAAAGGAATAATGGAAAAAACACAACATCACAGGAAATTTATAATAAAGATGTATTGTGGAGATATAGTAAGTTTACTTGAATTTTGGTTTGGGACGTTTAAGATAACAGCACCCCTTTCTCCCCCAGCAAGTTGTGGACCAGTTTTGGAAATTTTCAGGGCAACTTAGTAGGCATCTAAATGTATGCATCCCCGGCACTCTTACTGCATGATACCCACTACAGTGATCCCTCCATATTCGCTAAGGTTAGGGGCAAAGGACCCCCATGAATGTGGGAAAACTGCAAATAAAAAAAGACTATTTTTACCTAAGAGAACATCTTTCTAGGAATCTCCAGGTCTTCCAGTGCAACTCTATGGTCAACATCCACCAAAGGTTGATCACAGAATCATGTTGGAAGACCTACAAATGCCCAGAGAAGAATTTTCTCTAGGAATATCTAGGTTCTCCAACACAACTCTATGGTCAACTTCTGGCGGAGTTGCGCCGGAGGACCTAGTGACTCCTAGAGAGCACATATTAATCAAAACCACAAATAATCAGATCCACAAATGTGGAGGGCCAACTGTATATTTAGTGCTAGTGCAGTCTGGTGTCACCTTCGGTTTACCCATAAAACAGGAGGAAATGATCTACACATTCAGAAAATGTCATTATAGGGCCACTGTTGCACACTGTAATTTAGAGTAGAAATGGGCAGGTCCCTGTCCCAAAGAACTTACAATTTAAAATGCAATATAGGAAAAAGTACAGAAGGAGGGGTTAACAAGGAAATATGATGTGTTTCTTACAATTACATAAGCTTAGGCTTGATTACAAGAAGATGTAGCTTGTAGACCTAATAGGGACAGGCATGTGTCAACGCTTGGGAAAGTAATTTCTCCAAGCCATAGGATATGGTAATCTTCCTAGGAATCTGGCACTTTAGAATTTAGGGCAGGGGTGGAGAGAGAGTAACATCACTTGATTTATTTGTTTGCCCTCCTCCCCATTAAACTTACCCACATATGAAAAATGTAAGATATTTAGGAGAGATGTTCTAACACTGAACAATGTTCTGGGAGAACAGATGGAAGTGTCTAGCTGCTGACCAGGAGAAATACATTTTTAAAATGTGAGCAAATGAACCAAAACCAGTATGAAAAAGTGGTGGGATCTGTAACATTATATATTTGTTCAAAATATGTATTTTTTTTTGAAGAGGAGGGAAAGCATAATTATTTACAAAAGCCTTTTGAAAAGCTCTGACCAACATGAAAGAGTGGGCCCTAGGTAAATTCCCCACGGTTAAAGACATGCTTGAAAAAGATTTTACTTACAGCCGTTTGATTCCAGATTCTTGCTGAGTGGTTGGTTTGGAATTCATTATGGTTGTAGGTTGAGGAGATCTGGTTTCCTCATCCACTTCATCGCTTTAAAAAACAGAAGACATATACAAGTTATATGTCAAATTCTATCGCAGCGAGATAACATTCTCTCACCTGTACCAGTGAATATCAGTATAGGACAGGGGAGTGCAAAAGTCGATTGAGGCTGCATTCAGACTGCAGAAATAATCCGGTTTGACACCACTTTAACTGCCATGGGTCCATGCTATGGAATTCTGGGAAGTATAGTCTGTTGTGGCACCAGAGCTCTGCTCTGGTTAGAACACTGAAGTGCAGTTAAAGACAAATAAAAGTTGTCGCTGGAGTTAGACATCAAAGTTGTGTGACTGAATGCACAACTGAACGCAGACATTCCACATCTGACAAAAATGACCAACTGCTTCCACAGAGGACCATACATAAGACACCAATCGGATTCTGGCCACAGGCTGGCAGGAAGGAATGAGGATTAGAATAGAAGACCTTTAATTTCTCCTTCTAATGTCTAAGTAATAGAAGACCTTTAATTTCTCCTTCTTGGCCTTGAAACACAGCTTCTACAGTTGTGTTGCTGAATTGTTGTTTGTTGGTGGGATTGCCAAGTTTGTTCTTATTTAATTCATGTATACTGTCTTGACTGATCTTCTACAATAAAATTACTTTATTTTAAACAATGG